TTTTAAACATGTTGCAGTTTTCAGATGGGTTTTTATCGCAGTTCTGTAGACCATGATTCAGCATAACTCTCGGCTGTACAAACTACATGGACATCAGGGGCCAATTGTGAAACTGACTTGGTGGATGCTGTGGGTTATAATGCATCATGTTTGTGTTTGCTTTGTTTTCTTACTCAGTTTGTTCTAGAAGCTAAAGTAGTAACAATAAACACTGGGGGGGAATTGAATTTTGCAATCTGCCATAATGAGCCACAATGGAGGAGAGTACGCCTGTGAGTTATATTATAGGTTGATCGTTTTAATTATTTCTTCTTGAATCACCAGGAGAGCAGAGTGTTTTATTTTGGCAGGCAATTACAAATGAGCAGAGCTTGTCTAAGAATATGTTCAAACGTATCAGATTTAGAAAAAAAATGTGAATGAAACTTTATTGTATTGGATAACGTATTTCACAAATAACCAAGATTGATACTGAAGATTTGTTACTGTCAAGTATTTGCTCCTGCGTAGTTTTACTAAATGCCCTGCCTGCCAGCAGCATTCTGTAAGTAACTTCAAATGCTGCCACTGCAGCTATGAGTTTGAGAATTGATTTTAAGATCTTATTGCTCGTTTTAAAAGCCTTAAATGGCCAGGTAGCACATTATATCTGTGACCTGCTAGCCCCCTAAGCCAGAGCGCTGCCTGAAATCCTCCTTTAGGGCCATAGTAGCGGTTCATAAACTCAACTGGTTGCAAAAGGTGAACAAGGCTTTGCAGTTTGGGACACACAGTTCATCACAACTCACTGCCTGGAGGGAAACTTAGTGTCCTCTTTTGACTCTCTTTTTCAAAACTGACTTTTATTGGCTGGCTTAAACTTTGGCTTTGTTGTGTACTTCTGAACAATGTTTTTATTGATATGTGTCATTCATTGCTGTTTTAGGGCAGGTTTTTTAATCACTGTGGCCTTATGTCAGAGGAATACAAAATCTTTAATAAAAATAAATCAGCTTAATATTATGCATTTGTGTTCCATATCAGATCAAACATGCAAAAAGGCACATTTCATATTCATGTTTGTTTGTTTCCTTAAGTAGCCTGAGTGCAATCAGATATATTTATAGTCAAGATGTTTTTTACTTTGATCTTTTTTTTTTTTTCCACAAGTAGTTCTAATGTAAATTTTGTCCTCATTTTGAGGATAAGTCAGGAGATTTTCTTCATTTTTTTCTTTTTCGATGGATCCCATATGCATGGGCTTGAGGCTGAAGTACTTTGACAATCTGGTGTTTATGACCATTACTTTTTCTGTCCCCTGCAGTCTGGTATTTTTTATATAGTGCACAGACGAGAGACGAGGCCAAAAAGAGGGAGTTCAATCAAATAAGGCAGTTCATAGGTAACTGTAATATTGGTCATGAACTTTGCACTGGAAATAGACATCTCCAAACAACATCTATTTTCTGCCTTAGCTGACTGAACGATAGCAAACTGAACACATAGAGCAAATAGGCAGCAGCTATGAATCAATGCTTATTTTATTTAACACTTCACAATCAGCTTAAAACAACGTTTTTTAATGTTTTATTTTAAATTCCATTACATATACAATATGACATTACTGACAATGACATGATTCAAAAGAAACAAAACTGAATGAAAATAGCTTCCAAATGGTGAACACCTTAAAAGTGCTTCATGAAAGTTTTTGTTGTCATTGTACTGATTAATTGTTTTTTCTTTTTTAATTCTCATGCTGAAAGAATCGTCACTTTTTTTTAAAGACCTGCTGAAGCTCCTCCAAGCCGCAGAAGGCAACGCACAAGCGTTTTTTAAACAGGTCGAGAAGTAAAGCTCATGGCAAATATACCGTTCTATTTGTGTATAATTGATCAAATGCAACTTTTTTTGAAGGTTCATTTTAGGCTTTTTTGCCTTTATTTAGAGACTGGACAGTGGACAGAATCAGAAATCAGGGAGAGAGAGAGAGAGTGGAATGACATGCAGGAAAGGAGCCACAGGTCAGATTCAAACCCAGGCCTGCCCGCCTCGAGGACCACAGTCTCCACACTTGGAGCGTGCGCACCAAACACCTACCAGCGCCCCGAAATGCAACTTAATACAGTCCAACTTTTAGTTGCTTAGCTCAAGCCTTAATGCATTTAGAAATTTGAAAACAACTTATATAATGTACCAAAATAAAAAAGTCAAGTCATAAACCTCATTTGTTGTTCTCCTGGTCTATTCAAATTCAATGCTTGGTCTGAAACAATGGACATGGACAATCTGTGTACTACCTTTTGATGTAAGTCCAGAAGTTGTAATTCAGTGTGATGAAGATCGTCATCAATGAGAAAGACTGATGGCAGTAGAGGAGATGGAAGAAAACATATGCTAATAAATCTGCTTAAATGTATTACTGCTGCTTTGAGACTGTGTGCTGTGCAATGTAACAGGATGCCAAGGCTGTGTTTAGTTATTCACAGTGATTTAAACTGTGTGTGTGCATGTGTGTGTGTATGTGTGGTTGCCGACAAGCAGGCAAACAGCTGAGACAGATGCAGAGGCGTACAGACGTTCCTACATCCAGAGCAGGATCACTGTGTGTAAACTTCAGACCAGCTACTGCAGCAGTAACCATTGTACTTAACATTCCAGGCGCACTGCATCTCTGTTGGCTACATATAAGTTCATTCCACAATCAGCTCATAATTGGCAGAGCTAATGAAGGAGCGGTGAAACATAACCCAGGCATCGTTCATTCAGGGGCCAGGGAGATATTATGGTGAGATTACGATGAATCTCACCCTGTTATTTGGTGATTATAATGAGAAACAAAGCTGAGGCATCAACCATAAGATGCAGATGATGTATTCACAGGGACCACTGAAGATCGATATTCTCTGAGATGACTGCTTGGTTACCAAAAACGTATCATTCTGATTGTTTGATTGCTTCTCTATGAAGAAATGTATATGGATGTATAGGCCTCACAAATGGTAAATGGACTTGAGCTTGTATATCGCTTTCCTCGTCTTCTGACTACTCAAAGTGCTTTTACATCGCATGACACACCTACACATTCACACACTGATAGTAGAGTTTGCTATGTAGGGAGACGATCAGATGTACCTAATCCCATTCATAAACATTCATGCAATGTTGACGAAGAAGCAGGAGCAATTCGGGGTTAAGTGTCTTGCCCAAGTACACATCTGACATGTTGCTGCAGGAGCTGGGGATCGAACCCTCGAGACGACCGACTCTACCAAATGAACCACAGCCGCCCCCAAATGGTCAAATGGTCTTTTTAACCAAGCTCTAGATAAAAAAAAAAAAGATCACTATGTCATTGTGAATGTGACCTACTGCAGCTGCTTTCAAAATAAATCTGACTATCATATCATTTCAGTCAGACGTTTGTAATGGTTTGAAATGTTTTAGCGGCAGCAGAACATAGTTTGACTTTGGTGTTTAGGCTCCGACCTCATCGCTCCTCGCAGATTTACTTTGTATGCAGAAATTGAGGAGTGATGACATCATCTTAAACCCCAGTCGGAGCCGGAGGTGGATGCTGGGCTGGTGGTGGGTGGGTGGGTGGGGGGGGTTTGAAAGCTTAAATGTAGCACAGGTACGAGACAACAAAGCAAGGGAGGGAGTGGAAATCTTGGAGTTTAAACTGACCGCCAAAATTGAGAGGACGCGTTGTCTGCCCTGAACTTGCTCACAGGCAAAAAAAAAAAAACGTCAAACTTCTTTATACAAGAAAACTGTTTCCTAGATTGAACGGGTCTAAATGTACACCTCAACTATAATTGTATTGTGAAGCTCGTTTAGCTTGTTGTTTTGGCTATCTATGTAAGAAATATCAACCGGCTTTGAAGCGGCATGCAACTGCTTTCAGGTAAGTGAACAAGGAGGCAGGTTATAAGGAGAGGGGTTACCATGCTCAAACTCATCACTGTGTCTTGAAAACTGGCAACTCTGTTGGCTGTATGTGCGTTCAACTGTATACTGACACGTTCACCATGTAAACATGTCGATAACATGTTAAAGCTGTGTTACAACTTGTATCACTGCCCCCATGTGGCAAAAAAAATCCCCCCACACACGCACAAAGAAGAAAAAAGAAAACCACTGTAACAACGATTATTCAGGACCAATCTTCCAGTAGAGTGATGAATACTTATTTGTCGGGCTGTGCTTAAAATTAATAAAGGCAGTGCAAATAGCTGGTCAATTTCTCATTTGATCTTATCTACTAAGCTATGGCAGGTAATAAAGTCTCGCCATTCAAAATCAGATCAATTTTCTGATATGACATGATGGAGCAAAGATCAAACCCTGCCAGGTTTTGTTTTCACATTGGTGCACGTAGAAGAGCTCAAAGATCAAATATTTCATAATAAATGACATACACTAAGTTATGGGCAGCCTGAATATTCAATCTTTAATTTTTTAAATCTTGCCATTTCTGATATTTCATGGAGCACGCCTGTCAAAAGTTATTCTTTGCAATATACAAAGAAGAAAAGAGCATTTATCATTATTGAGAATACAGTACAGTTATCCTTTTTTTGCATTTTACCCAAAGTGAAAAGTTTTTCGAGAAGTAAAAATATTGAGATGACAATAATTGTCTGCAAATGTCCGCTTCTGGGTAACTAACAACATAGAAGTTGTCAGTTGAAAATTATATAAAACAAAGAAAAGGAGCCCACAGGCTCACCTTGGAGGGGCATCACCTCCAAGAAGTCATTGTTTTAATTGACAAATATTTCAATAATTAATCATCTGTTCAAATTGTAGGTCATTTGTCAATTGACTAATTCAGTAAGTCAAATACTGAGTCAGACAGAAACTGCAAAATGATCACAGTCAAGAGATGAAGTGAAACCAGAATAATTAAGCTTCTATTCAAAGAGAAATATAGAAAAGAAAATCTTGTTTGAAATGGATCATCAATGAAACCTGCAGGTGTGACTGGGGAAGTTTGAAAATGTGAAGTGTGTACTCACCAGCAGCGTGGGCAGCCCAGCCACTACAGCGTACAGCAGGATGGGTGGGACGGCGCTGCTCTCCTCTGGTCCCAGGTAGGGTTTGGTGTAGGCGGTGTCGTAGCAGAAAAAGCCCTGCACGTGCACGCTGAAGGTGTCGGTGTACTCGAAGTAGTAGGCCAGCATGACGGTCCCGGCCATGATCACCAGCTGGAAGTACAGCATGATGAAGACGGAGAGCGAGAGACATTTAATTAGAACAAAGCCTTTTCTCTCTCTGTCTCTCTATCGACTACCCAGCCTCCTCCTCCTCCCCGGCAGTACCGACTCCTGCTGACCGGCTCATGACAGCTCGGCTGCACGCAATGAGCTGCTCTCTGTGGAGGCTCCCTCCGCTCCCTGCTGCAGCGACTACAGACTGTGTGTGTGAGTGTGTGTGAGTTAGAGCAAAAGAGGGAGAGGGAGAGAGTGAGAGAGAGAGAGAGAGAGAGAGAGAGAGAGAGAGAGAGAGAGAGAGAGAGAGAGACAGTGGGTGTGTAGGGATGTGTGAGCGCATGTATGTGTGAGGGAGAGAGAGAGAGACAGATTAGAGGGACATGTAAGTGAGGACTGACAGCTCCCTCTGGGTGTGTAAATGTGTGTGTGTAAACTGGATATAAAACTGAAGCATGTAGTGCAACATTAAACCGATTCAAAAGAGAAGCTGAGAAAAATTATAGAATGAAAAGAGAGATATGAGAAGGGGGAGGGACAGAGCTGCAGACGTCATATGTGTCTCGACCACTGGCAGGGGCTGAAGCTCTTTCCTCCACATTCAGCCCATATTTCATCAGAGAGGAATGAGAGAAGGCTGCGAGCAAGTAACATGTAGAAGGCAAGTGTTAGTTATTTCATCTCACTGAGGGAAAGCCTGAGTGTTCATTCTTCAGTACGTTTGTTTCATAAGCTATATGATTAGTCTATATGTGCGCTGAAACAGTTGATGTTGGCTGTGGCACTCGCTCATACTGAGACCCGGTTAATGACATGCTGATGTCATTAACTTGGGAATAAAATACACAGTTATCACACCATGCAAAAACTTTGCACAACTTAGCTAATCAGAAGCTTCAATAGATAGATACAGGTTTTTTTTCTCCAAATTGACATCTTCATAATGCAATTTACATGATGGAAAACGAAACGTATTAGGAAGGGATCCCTCAATTCTGTAAAAGTATGGAGGAATGATTACTGCTAGCCACACATTTTTCAGTAGGGCTTTTGAAAATGGTTTTAAGACATTCCTATAAAAGTATGTCCTGTCTTTTTAGTTGCTTTTTACATAACAGTGTCATACTGCACACCTTTGCATAGTGAAATAAAGACAAGAGGCAACAAAAAAAAAGAAAGCGGTATAACATCCATTAGCTCCAAAGTAAAAGGTGAATGGACTTGGGCTTGTCTAGCATTTTTAGTCTTCTGACTACTCACAGCACTTTTGCACCACAGGTCGCACCTACCCATTCACACCCATTCACACCCATTCACACACTGATGGAAAAGTTCTTCGATGTAAAGTGTCCATCAGTATGAATTAATCCCATTCCTGGGATTCACATGCCTCTGTCAAAGCAGCAGGGACTTGGGGTTAAGTGTCTTACTGAGGGACACATCTGACCAACATTTCTCCCAATAGTTCTCTATTTTCTGCACTACATCATACTTGAGAATTTAAGTTATTTCCCTTGAGCTGGGTATTCTGACAAAATGATCTTTTTTTTGTTTGATTTATGGATAGGAGAGCTGAAGAGAGACAAGAAACAAGATAGTTGGGATGACATGCACCAGAGGATCTGGGGTTAGTACCTAGTGTGAGCTGCTGGGGCACGGACATGACAACTGAGTACAAGGTGGGCGATTTTACAAATTGAGCTAATCCGGAGACTAATCCAGACAATATTAACTTCGGGTTATTTTATTCTTTATACTTCAAATTTCAACTGACATCGCTACAGAAAATTACATTATTTTGATTTTTTAAAGAGGACATATTATCCCCCTTCTCCACCTTTTCAAACAGTCCCCTGTGGTCTAAATGAAACATCTGTGCTGTGCTTTGGTCAACATATAACATGAATCATGCACCAGAGGAGGTTTGTGACCCTGTATAAACCAGCTCTCTCAGAACGCTCCGTTTTGGTGTGTGCGTCTCTTTAATGCATTATTCAATAGCGCAACTACATGTTTAAAAGCAACAGCATATATGTTAATTTTCTAATACTGCTGTCTTTTTGTGTTTATCTGCTGGGTACAATCCTTAATAATGCTTATATCTCTCTTTAATCTTTCCAATTCTTGATATTTCATAATGGATGTATTATGCTAAACACCTACCACTAGCTCTGAAGTTATTTCTGCTCTTTATTTCTTCCTTTATTTCTGTTGAATTGATTCAGCCATCCCATTTCCCCACATGGACCATTAAAGCTTCATCCTATTTTATACCCCACACACACTCTCTCTGTATATTCTCCAACACTAGACACACATTTATCTGCTTTACTGGCCCACTGAAATCCATAAGTGAAGGCTGTCAGAGGAGACATAGGGACAGATGAAGAGGATGAGGCACACAGAGATGGAGATAGAGATGGAGATGCAGAGGGTGTGAGGAGTCAGCTGGGTACACGCTGACAGCTTTGAGTAATGGTTGCCATTACTGTGTCACTCCATCATCAACCCCCATTTGGATGGTAACTAGGCCAAACTAATATGTTGCTGGCTTCATGCACAAACATACGAGATGTTTGATGATGCATGTTTTGAATTGCAGATCCAGAGTTGCCAGATTGAGAACTGTATGAGTAACGAAACATTTTGGTGTTCAAGAGATACAGATGAAGAGATTGGAAAACTTGTGATATCTTGTTTTTAATGGTTCAGGATTGGAAAAAGATGGTATGACAATCAATATTGTTTACTGTAATAATACTAATAATGTTTTTTTTTATCATTGTAACAAATGAGAAAAGATTAAGACCACATTAAAAGCATACGGCCATAAAAAAAAAAAAATGTATACAGTAGTAGACAAGTTGGGTGGATCAGAGAATGTGTTTGGATTGCCATGACTGTCAGAGACACAGTGTCTTCACACACTGATGGTAGAGGCTGCTTTGTAAAGTCACCATCAAAAGTAACTAATCCCATTCATACGCCACTAACGAAGAAGTGGGAGCAACTTGGGGTTAAGAGTCTTGCCCATCGGACATGTGGCTGCAGGAGCTGGGGAGATGTGGCTGCAGGAGCTGGGGACATGTGGCTGCAGGAGCTGGGGACATGTGGCTGCAGGAGCTGGGGATGGAAACAAAATCAACCTTTCTTTTTACTGTAAACTATTTAAATTAATTTTACTTGGGAATAATCTTTACATAAGTCCTCATTTGGATATTGATAGACTCATATTGACATGAGAGGTCAATAGGATCGATACTGCTAACAGATGAACTCTTTAACTTTCACACACACAAACAAACAGGATTACTCATGCAGACAGAGAGCTCAAAATCCAGCCAATCAGAAAGCATTCGATCTAAGCAGTTGTGAATGTGTGAACACAGTTGAGTCCTCTGTAGACCTACAGGCCCATCTGTCACTGTCCTTCTCAGCCTATGAGGAAGCTCACAGTCACTGCTCTACTGCTGAGGCAAAACACACACACACACACACACACACACACACACACACACACACACACACACACACACACACACACACACACACACACACACACACACACACACACACACACACACACACACACACACACACACACACAAAAGTGCAAGGGAAGCACACACAACATTGCACCATAGCAAAAAAGAAAATATTTCACTTTGAGGTCCAAGATGATTATTGTCTGACAGCCTGATGTTTTTATGATCCTCCCCCGGTATCCACTTGTACTCCAGTATTAATCATGTCAGACCTGTTTGTAAAGGTTGTGGCGACTACCTGCTCTTTGTGGCAGCTGCAGGGAGAAAGAGAAGGAGGGTGCCTCTCTCATGAAGCTCGCTGCTGCAGCCTCACATGTGACCATGGCAACGGAAATTAATGTGAGGAAAACAATACAGGAGCTGATTTTACTGTCACTGTATCTGAGTGCACTGGATTACACATCTCTTCACCAACAGACAAACAGATAGATCAATATAACAAACAGCTACAATCTGTCATGTACAGCCAGGTAGGATCTGAAGTAGCCAGGAACCGCTGTGACTTTATGTTGGCATGAAAGGACTGCAGCTGCAGTTGTATCTTAGAGAATACAAAAAAAACCCACAATAAATATGACATCAGAGAACAGTATGAAAGGCATTTTTTATTTGTCTTGTTCCTCTCATAAGGAGCAGGAGATTGTTTGTTCCCCCCCTGTGAGGAGCAGCTAATGAGCTCTGTTGTCTGGTGGATACAGGTGCCCCACTGCACAGCAGTAACATTTAGGCATGAAAGACCCAGAGCCTTAAACACACACACACACACTTGTAGAGAACATGAAAGCACTATCAATCAACTTTTAGACTCAGGCAAGTGGGGGGAAGAGCACAATATGAAACCTTCATAATTAAAAATGAAACTTTAGGATTTGCTTTCCCTTAATCGTGATAAGTAAATAGATCAAATGCAAGAATTACATTTTTTTTAACTCAGGTCTGTTTCGGCTTGAACTACTGATACATGTCTGCCAAGAGGAAAGGCAATAGACAGACATTTTAAAGGAGCAATATGTAACTCTGACACCTAGCGTTTAAAAGGGGTGCTGCAGTCCAAATTCAAAACTTTGAAGATAACTGTCATCACCCGCCCCTCTCCTCCTTAGAGTGGATGTGCACGCAGGTTGCTATGTTGCAGACCCTGAAGCTTCAGTGTTTAGCCACCTCTGCATCGATCTATTTTTATAAAGCATTTTGAATATTTGTCCTGTTCTTAACACGTTTCTACGTCGTGGAGCTTATTAGAAAAATGCCGATGCTGTTCAGGTCGGGAAGAATTAGTTATATCTGAACTCTGCTTGCTTCCATCACTGCAACATCTGTTGGTTTGCCGTTTACCTGGCAAACCGAGGGGCAAACAATTACTGTGTGGGGGTACTGTGAATCTGCCTCCTTCTCTGGTAAAAAACAAAAAACAAAAACATATTCTACATTCTGAATCAAAATTTAGCAGGA